AATTACCAACCTCTGACTCCTACAAATCTATCGCTAGCTATTTGAAAAATCTTCTCTACTCTTTCGATGTAGCCACAAGGAGATCCAGAGCTCCGGAGAGCTTTTCCAGCGAGTTTAATGGTGGCTCTCCAACCCACCAACGTGCTTCCTCCTCCACTCCACTAACTGTCCACTACTATCCATCTCACATACCTTTGCTGGCTCAACTGAACCTTTCTCTTCCATCAGAGTCGACGAATCTATCCTCTGCATCATCGATTTCGTTTATCGTTGGCAAGCTTCATCACCGTCGTTTCATTCCGGTAACTCCTATAGATCTGAACAACACCATATCATGATGCTCTCCGGATTTCTCTCGAAGGTTAATTGGTCCATCTCTCGATGCTTGCTCCCTCCATCCCCGTCCCCGTGTCTCTGCTTCTCACCGCCATTCTTTAGATGTTGCCGGATTTGTCTTCACCGGCGAAGTCCCACCGATGCAAAGCCTAACCATCATCGATACAATCATTGTCCAAGTACGGTATTGGCATGTGTTGGGCCTGGCCCATGAGTGTCTCGTGGCTCCGTTAACTTGCCTAGTATTCAATTTCAAGATTTTGGCTGAGCTCGATCTCTTCTTTTTTTGGAGAAGAGCAAAGTTTTTTGGATTTTCAAATCCTGTATTTTGTACTGATCATGGTATCTCTTCTATTGAGAGAAGAACAAAGTTTTCTAAATTCTCAAATCCTGTATTTTTCTTCCAGTGGGAGAGAACTTGTCCACCTTTTCTTCTCTCTTTGAGAATAACATCCTTCTCGGAATCAAAACCGAGCATTTCCTTAATCGTTTTGTATTATTGGGTAGCGGTCTATACCGGGCCTGAAGATGCCACAGGAGATATGGGTAGTCTTTCAATGTCACGGCTCAATATGACCAAAGTTATGCTTTCCGGCTTAGCCGTGAGCTTTATACCGACGCATCAAGAAATTGTTTTTGATTTGCTGTTGTATAATTATCTTTTTCTACTGCTTTAAGGTTTAATGCTTTCATGTATTGTGGTATGAACAGATGTAAGATCGCCGTTTAAGTTAATGAAAAACAATGTGTTGCAAAAAAAAAAAAACATAACAATTTTTTTCAACTGTAAAATACAATTACAAAATATTAGGATGGTTGGTAAGAAAATATGATATGGTTCATAGTTGATAAGTTCTATGAAACGATGCTGTTGGGACAAGCATATTGGTTCACAACATTGGAGCAGAAGATTGTGTCGTGGTCTTTCATAAGGTTTCACAATCTAATGAAGAACCTAATGGAGTTGGAGAAGCTGACGGAGATGATAAGCGATGATGACGCTTCGATGGAGCAGAAGGTGGAGTCAGACCCTTTGGTAAGGTTCCAAAATTTGTTGGAGGAGCTATTGGAGATGTACGGCGATAGCCGCCCTTGGATGGAGCAGAAGGTTGAGCTGGAACCTTTGGTAAGGTTCCAAAACCTATTGAAGGTGGATCTCTTTGCGGTGTTGACTTCACTTGTTGGGTTAAGCTTGATTCATAGATTTCAAAAAACAAAGATTTTGTTGGCATTGCAGATGTTGGAAAATTTAGTAATCCACAAGACATTAATAACCACAATGTCCCTGTGGTTGCCAACATC